ACCGGTTCTCGTTCGATCACCGAAGTTAAGCAGCGTCGAGAGGGTTAGTACTTGGGAGGGAGACCACCTGGGAATACCCGGTGTCGTAGACTTTTTTTTCGTATTTTTTACCTTCTTTTTTTATTTTTTTTTAAATTGTATTTTACTTGATTGAGTTAAAAATAATAATACTAATAAATATATTTTAGAGTTATTTACAAAAAACTAGTTAAACTCTCAAACTCCATATATTATACAGTAGATTGAATGTGTGTTGTCTATGGGCTCTGTATTTATTAAAAATAATTAACAATTTATTTTTGGAGTTTAAATATTAAATAACATTTGGATAATTTGGTTTGATTTACAAAATTAGTATTTATTAAAAAAGATTTAATTTACAAATTCATAAATTTAATATTCAGTGAATTATAGTTAGGTTAATGTGAACAACAGGCACAATAGCCGCCCACAACACAGCACTGGGGGTACCCGTCATCACAACAGTAGATCATAGAGCAGGGACTCGAACACACCCAACAGTCGTTACCATTCACATCATAAGTGCTCACATTTAAGCCTAAATTATAATTAAATAATAACTTAATAATTTATGTTTAAATATTTATCCAAATGAATACAAACCCTGTTTAAAGTCTTTATCAAACGCTGCTTTGAAATTGTCAGTGGATTTTGGAATAGTGTTTGAGAAATGTTGAGTTACAGCCATTTCACCTGTCATTTAATAGAAATTATTAGTTTTGTACAAATTATATATAGTTTTATAATTCATACCAATAGTGAAGACAACGAAAAGTAGAGTCAAAACAGCAATCAATGAACGCATGTTTGGAGAGAATTAAAAGTTTAGTTAATTTTAAGTCAAAAGTTATATTAATTACAAATGTTTTCGTTTGTATTGAAATTATAATATTTTGAATCTCTTATATACATAAACTTTAGCAAAAAATTATTGCAATTGTTTCTTAATTGTGTTTGTTTTCTAAATAATCACGAATTCATTGGAAATTTTTAATTGTATAAAATAATAATAACAAACAAAGCTTTAATATAAGAATAAAGCACATGATAAACAATTTCAATATGAATTCTTATCATTATTTCTCTATTACAGTACAACATCTATGTCATATTTTTATGTTTAATTTTTTAAATAATCATATTTGTTTTTATTAACTTACGTATTACAGTTGAAATACCTTCTAATAAATAAATTAATAATTTATCAATAATTAAATATTATAATTATTTATAAATATCACCTGTTTCAATATTAATAGCAATATTCTATTGTTTTTTATAATTAAAATTTTAAAATAAATTTAAATGTAATTAAACTTTTAAAATATGTTATTTAATAAATTTAATTGTAATTAAAACTGTTATCATTTTTCTTTTGTAAAAATGTATAGACATTGACGTAAAATAAATAAATTACTCTAAAAACATGTTTTATTATATTAATCTTTGGTTTATAGCCATTAAAACATTCTGCAGTCCAAAATTTAGAATTATTGAATTTAGTAAATTTAATTGTGCTGTAAATTTTGGTAAATGAAAGTAAAATAAAATAATAAATAAAATTCTATATAACAAATATATACAAGTAAAAATATATGTAGGTATTAAAGTAAATAGTAAAATAAATTACATAAATTATAAACAAATCACAAAATCTATTTTATGCAATTATTATGTTAATTTATCAATTTGAATGATTAATATATTGTTAGTTAAATTAATTAAATTAATTTTAAAATGAATTATTTAAAACGTTTAATTCATATTAGAAAATATACTAAACACTTATTCAACTTTGTATGTTGTTAGTAACAACTTGTTACACAATATAATTATTAATTAATTAATTAAATTATGTATTTGACTTATGAAAGACAATCCAGGGATTGAAATCATATCAATTAATTTTGAATTGTTTAAAACATAACACATATAGTCGTATAGTTTTTATAAATAGGGTTTTAAATGTGTTTTTATAATTTAATCCATTGTTAGATTGTATTAAACGCATTTAAAATGCTGATTAATTACATGTACTAGCTCAAGTTTTAGTTTTTCATAGAATAATTTACTAATTATTTTTA